AGACAGGGTTTCCCTATGTAGCCCAGGCTAACCTTAAACTCACTATGTAACCCAAGTTGGCCCTGAAGTCATGGTGATCCTACTGCCTCAGCCTCCCACTTGTTGAGATTACAGGTGTGTGCTATCACATCCAGCTTTATTTTGTTTGTGTGAAATAAGGTCTCCCTCTACAGCCCAGGCTGGTCTTGAATTTGCCGTGTACAAAAGTGGCCTCCAATTTGTAATCCTCCTGCATCAGCATCCTGAATATTGGAAGTGCAGGCATGTGCCACCAGCTCTAGTTAGAAACTGGAAAACTTTAAGCAGAAATATTAATCTTTCGGTACCTACTTTCTAGGAAATCCTTCAAACACATCAAAAACTAAAAATACCCCATAATATATAAGCTTCATTTCTGTCTCTTGTAGGTGTCACACAAACTAGATGCCAGTGTGATGCTGGCAACAAGCTGCCCCAATCAGGACCTCAAGTCCCAGAGCCTTCACGCCTAGCTAGCAGCAGTTGCCCTCCGTCTCTCTTCCAGCCCCTGGTGTGCACCCTTCTACCCATGTGCACAGTTTTGCCTCTAGGACAGCTCACGAGATCACACTATCATGGCTCATCTCACTGCTATTAACCTTTGTGTATAAAGGTTTGTGTGGATGTATGTTTTTCTTTCTCCTAGGTGTGCACCAAGGAATGGAACAGCCAGGTCACCTGTGGGGTCTGCTTTTTGGAGTTGGTTTCAGGGGCTGGGTGTGTGACACAGCCCAGGCTACCACCTCATCATCCACAACAACACTAAGCAGGTATGGCTGCCTGCTTTGGGGAGACCATATCTGAGTGGTTGTAAGTGTGGTCAGCCTTTGCCTTTCACCTTTTAAAAAACAATTAAAAGTAGATTAAAGGTCATTGTGTATCATAATAGGAATATAAGTACACTATAGAAAAATTTGAAACAAACCACACTCAGAGATCACCATTCTCAGTGTACATCCTCCCAGTTTTCTATGTATACATATCCTTTAAGGCCAACATGGAGCCACTTGATCTTCTAGACAGCTCTTTAAACATTATGAACATGTTTCCACATTAGATATTTATCAATATCACTTTAAACAAAAGAAATGACTTAACTCCCCACTGCTAAGTATTTCAGGCTTCCTTTAAAAAAAAAAGAGACTACTGAACTCTTTTAGAATATTTTTTAGAATAGGTGAGTTTACACACCTATAATATTTAAATGATGGAACTTAACAAAAAAAA